TGTCCTCCTGAGGGGCATAAAAGGAAAGCATGAGCCACTGAATCCCATCACCTATTGCTCAAGGTGTGCCCATACCCACCCCCATACACTTTCAAGGGAGGCATGTATGAGTGTCCAGGTTCCTGTAGGTATCCCACACCTTGGCGTCAGAGGAACTCTGGGCAGAAAGTGCTGGCTATGAGGCATGGTTGAGGTGGGGGGGGGCTGTCAGATTACCCCAGTAGAAAATCAGCAAAGGTAGGCCAGAAGGTTATGAGATGGAGGGTCCCATATAGGTGACCCCAACGTTCCTTGCACATGAGGGTCTTCATGGACACACACTGGCCCTGCTGCTGAAGTTAGTTGCTGGTACTCATAGCTTGGTCTCACTTTACCCTAGCTGACTCAGCACCACTGTGGCTCTCTCTGGCCCCTCAGGCCCCTCTGGTCTCAGCTGTGCCCTGCCCCATCCTAGGTGTGACCTGCCCTCACCAGGACCTCCATGGCAGATTCACCCCACCATTCACCATGGCAGTACTCTGATAGGCCCACTAATTCCAACTTCCTCATGTCCTGTGGCATGCAGGAGTATCTGGATCCCTTCCAGGCCTCTGGGAGCTAAAGGTGGCTTAGTGTCGCTCACTCACACTGTCTTGCAGTTAAATCTATACTCCACCATTTTTATCCAGAAAGCAGAGCACAAGCTGCCTGGGGGGTCTGTCTTCCAAATACAGAATGGGACATACACACTTTTTATTTTCAGCTTTCATTTTCTTCCTTCAAGATGTTGTCCCAGATAATGAGACCAGGATACTGATGTCAGATTCTTCTCCTTCCCATTCTTCACCAGCTTTCCTCCCTCCCTCCCCCATCTCCTTTCTTCCTTTCCAGAGATGGCACCCCCCTCCCCAGCTCATAATAGTGGAGTAGCTTCAGAGGAATATACTTTCGGGAGTGAAATTTATGTCTATTAAATGTTTTCAATGTATCACCACCATGATAGTCATCCAACAAATGATTACTGGGTGCTTACCATGTGCAGAATTCTAGACACTAAGGGTAAAGTGGGGAGAAAGGCTGAGCCCCTGCCCTCATGGTGCTATAATTGTGGAGACAGGTAGTAAATGAGGAAGATCAGATAGGAAAGAAGCAGGTGAGAGGCTAGAATCAGGGGCTACATTGTTGGTTCGGGTGGTCAGAGGAGGCCTCCCGAAGGGGCTCAAGTAGATCAGGTCATTTCTCTTCTTGGTAATCAGAAGATTTTAAACCACATATGCCAGAACTGAAGTCCAGAGATCTTGAGGTCCTGTTCAAACCATCCAGTCCCCTGCCTCTGCAGCAACAGCTGGACAGTGTCCAAGGAGAAGCCAAGGCTAGGGCTGGGGGCCACAGCATGGTCTGAACCTCCCCTAGGCAGGAGTTCAGCTGCTCACTCCTTGGCAAGCAATTGGGAACAGGGATGAGGTGTGTTTCTTGAGCTCTCTATGGCAGCAGTGACAAGAGACCACAGACTCCATCTAGGCATGGGGACCCAAGAGGTTCCACTACCCCCCCCCCACCCCTCAGCTCAGTGTCCTCCATGCCAAGTGACAGAGAACAGGCAGCTCTTGAAAAGACTAATATTTACTCTTCAAATGGGAGCTGGCACGAGCTGTTTCCTGTAGCCGGCGTCTGGCTCACCCGTGGGATGGACACAACAGGAGGCACTCCGGGAGATAGGCAAATGTCCCCTCAGATATCAGCATTTAGGACAAGACAACGTCCGCTAGATGAGAACAACATGTTCCAAGGTCCCATCTCGTCTCCGCTAGGACACCTCTATGGTAGAGACCTCACTGCTCCCCAGCCCTGTTGGACCGCTCTGTGAGAAAGTTCATTCTAATGTTTGCCCTGCGTTCCATGCATCTGGCCCTTGCTCTTATCCCTGGGGCCTCAGAAAATGTGCCTGAAACAACCTATCAGGACTATGGTGGTCTTGGTCACCTTCTCCCTTTCCACCCCTAGCCATCTCAGGCTTCACTACCCCAGGCTCATAATCTGAGCTCCATGGCTAGCACAGGCTATTTCTGGGGTGGGAGGAAGAAATAGCCTTGGAGGCACCTCTGTCCCCCAGCAGCTGTGTTCCTTGTCCTCATGAGAGCCCTTCAGCTGAGTGCCTCCTGTGGGAAAGAATCTTGGCCAGGAAACTACTGGTCAGGCGGCCTCAGTCCAGGGAGGAAAGAGTCCCTGGCGGCCAGATTGGCTCCCACTCACCAGCTCTTCTCTCTGGGGTCCCCTCCTCTCTTCTCTCCCCTTTCTGCATCCCTCATGGCCTCTGAAAACCACTCTTGATGAGTACAGTCCCTGGCCTCTGGTTCAGTTCCTCCCCTTGCTCACGGAAAGCTAAAATAATCCAGTAGCATGCAGGGCTTTGGAAGCCTCGGAGGCTGGTCTTCTCTGTCTTGTCATGTCAACTCCAGGAAAAATACAGGCCCACTTCTTCCTCCCAGGACTCTCAAACCTGACTGCTGACTCTAGCGATTTTTTTTTAATTCTTTATTATCCCAATATCTAATTCCCATGATGCTGGCCTTATACATAACCATTTGAATGTATTTGGTCTTTTTGCCTATATTCCTACAAAATATTTTATCATTTTGTGCATATATTACTAGCCATATAAAAGTTATTATTCACTCAGCTCTGAGTGAACGTCCACATTGACGTTCTATGTAAACCCAGGGCTTCTGACTGCTTCGTGGTGTTCCATGGGCAGCCTGTGCTTATCTGTCCATGATGCTGTACAGGTTATATTCCACCATCAAAAATAAAACTTCCATGAACATTTATCTCCATACCTACTTCCTGAAGGATCTGTGTAAGAGTTTTCCTGAGACATAAAACCAGGAATGAAGTTTCCACATCATAAGGCATGTGCACACTTATTTCGGTAGGTAGGCCGTATCAGTCTGCCTGAGCTGCCATAATAAAACATCACTCAGTGTGGCTTAAATGACAGAAATTTATTTCCACATAATTCTGGAGGCTGGAAGTCTGAGATGAAAATGTCTGATGGCTGTTTCCTTGTCCTTCACAAGTTTTTTCCCAGTATCTGTGTCCTCCTAATCTTTTCTTATGAGGACACCAGTCCTATTGGATTTGGATCCACCCATATGACCTTATTTTACCTTAATTACATCTTTGAAAGGCAGATTCTGAGGTCTGGGGTAGGATTTAAACATGAGTTTTGGGGAGACACAAAACACCATGGCTTTGCAGGTGATCTGTGCCTGTCTTCTCACTGCCATCACCCAACAAAGTCCTTCTTTTTCCCACATTCCCTCCAACATTTGGTGCAAACTCACGAGCCTAAGATGGTATCTTACTATGATTTTAAAGTGTATTGAAAATTATCTTAAATCTAATCTGTATCTAATTATCTTGAATAGCTTCATATACTTATTAGCTTTTTCGGTTTTCTCTTCTGTAAATTGATAATTTTTTTAAAAAATCAGGACTTCTGGGCTGGGGTTGTGGCTCAGTGGAAGAGCGCTTGCCTCGCACCTATGAGGCACTGGGTTCGATCCTTAGCACCACATAAAAATAAATAAACATAATAAAGATATTTTTAAAAAAGAGAGAGAGAAAGATAGTTAAGAAAAAAATCAGGATTTCTGTCTTTCTCGATGATTTACAAAAACTGCTTCTAAATTAACCCTTATTGGTTTTAAGCATTATAAATATCATCTCCCATTAAGTTTGTCCATGAAATCTTACAAATAAGATTTACAAATTTATGAACTATTTTGCTTTAAGGGTTGTGCCTGTGATGTTTTTGTTTAAGAAGTACATTTCTGGGCTGGGGATGTGGCTCAAGCAGCAGTGTGCTCGCCTGATATGCGTATGGCCCGGGTTCAATCCTCAGCACCACATACAAACAAAGATGTTGTGTCCGCCGAAAAATAAAAAATAAATATTAAAATTCTCTCTCTCTAAAAAAAAAAAAAAAGAAGAAGAAGAAGAAGTACATTTCTACCCCAAGCCAAAAGGATATTTTTCCTGTTCTTCAATGAACTGTACAGATCTGGCCTTGCATATTTGATCCAATGTCTTACAGCTGACTCAGCAGTGCCAGACAGGGCCTCCCTGCTGGGTGCATGCAGGTGGGCCCCTTCCTCTCTGAACTTCTCTTCCACCAGCACTGCCCAAAGATGCTTGGCACTTCTTGACCTTCAAGGGGTGGGGCCTATAAATAAAAAAGGCAACCCAGCAGCCTGAACTTCTCACCCAGCCCTCCTAGCACAGAAAGGGCATCTTCATGGGCTAAGATTCCCTTTTGTTCTTTGAGAATGCTGCCAGCTATGTGCAGTCCCTTGTTCCAGCCCAGGGGACAAGTCTCTTCTTCCCCACCTGAGCAACAAGGCTTTGCTAACCTTCAAATCCCAAATCTAATAATTTGATACTTATTTTGGAAGCTTTGCCTTTCTCCAAAAAAACTGGGCTCAAGATAGATACAGTAGGGATACTTGGAACTTCCAGCTCCGATGTTTAAACGGAAGATGGTCAGGAGAGGATGGCGTACTTGCTTCCTTCTGGGAATTCTGTCAGCTGCTGCAGGAAAGCATCTGTAAAAGGACACCATCTCTGGGCTGGGAACCCCATGATGAGGCCAGCAGCTGCGCCTCCTGGTGGTCATTTTGTGACCAGGTTGGTCCCAGAAGATGAAAACTTCCATCACCCTCAGTACAGACAGAAGCCCAGAACCCAGAGCAGGGGATATGCCTGCCTATGGACACACAGCAAGTGGGGACAGAGTCTGCAGAGAAGGCAGGCAGCCCAGCCCCCAAGGCAGCACTGTGACTGCTGTCTTGGCTGGGGACTCCTGCGAAGAACTGTACCTGTCCAGACGTCACTGGACAAGAAAACCAAAATGTCACTTCTCTCAATACTCCCTTCCTATTCATCAGGCCCTACTCATACCACATAGGAAAAAGGACCTACATCTCCAAATGGTTCATACAGTACAAACACAAATACACACATTAATAAACACCTTAGATTTATTCTCCCACTTCTGAAGCCACCTCATTTAATTTATATATACACAGTATATAAATGACTATACAACATTCTGTATGTACACTGACAAGAGTTTAGGTTTTATCACTATGTGAAAGTTTGTTAAAATGTACCCATGATGTACTCAAAATAGATCTTTGCTGTTACATGAAAACAGTAAGAAGCTTGTGTGACAAGGACAGCAAATACTGGAAATGAGTATGTAAGATAAATGGTTTTCCCCTGGCTAGATCAGCCTCAATTTTTTATGCTCTTAGTATAAAATTCCATTAAATAAAATTGAATCCTGGGGGTTAAGTCATATTAATAATTCATTAGCTAATACTTCTGAAGCAATCCCAGAATTATACAAATGTAAGGGCTAAAGGTCATATGTACCACACACAAGTTAAAGGAACAGAATGGGTTTGATAATTTTACCCTAAAATAAAAGGCGCTTGTGAGACAAAGCTCTGACATCAGTACACATGGGCAGATGTTTCCATATCCAACCATTCCCAGATTTTAACAACAAGCCCCTTTCCACACGTTCCCTGCTGATGAGGTTTCCCCAGCAACAGAAGTTTGATATCACTGTTCCCAGATAGGAGAATTAAAGGTCTGCTAATTTGAGTTGGTGACAGACACTGAGGTTTGGTCCAACCAACAGAATGGGCCTCCTTAGATCCTGGAGTAAACCCAATGCCAATGCTACCAGGAGCTCTGTGCCTAGGAAGCAGGAGGTCCAAGGGAAGAGAGGTCACGATCTTTCTGGAATGAAAGAATGAGGTCATTTCCACGGCAGTCTCATAAAAGGCCTTTTTGCAAAGGTCAGAAGACACGGCTGTGCCAAGCTGCCTAATGCACCCAGAGCCTACAGGACCAGGTTGACTCAAAGACCTCCTCCTCCTGCACATGAACAATGTATCACCCAGTATTACCCTCCACTACCACTGCTGATTCTCACAGCAGCATACAGGATTGCAGATTGATGTTTTCATCATTTCCCAGAAGAGAAAACTGAGGCCAGACAGGCAGGGACTTCCACTGTGATGTAGGACTGAGTGGAAGAGCCAAGCCAATCTCAAGGCCATCTGGTAAGTGGATCAATGTACACCTTCCAATGCCTCATCCCTTGAGGGCATGTCCACATACTCTTCCTCTACCATTATTATTAGCAGTCAGAGTACACAGGCAGAGCTCCCCATACCTGTGCAGAATTCTGCCTGGGATTCTGGAATATAAGCAATGGATGAGCAGGGTTTGCTGGGCACATCTGATTGCAGTAATCACTCCCATCCCTATCCTCACTTGTGCTAGACTGTGCATATAGCAGATTATCTGAGAGCCACTATCCTGCATGTTACTAGCAGTCAACTCCTAGTTAAGGAGCAGCAAATGGCATCCCTTGATAAGGTGCAACATGCACCCACTGCATGCCAAGGGGTGGCTGTTATCTTCCAGCAGACAATAGAGCCCTCAATTCAGCTTCCCTAATTCCCCTGTCCCAAACAGCCAGCCATTTGTGGCCTGTTAGCCATCATCTTTGACTCTGAGCAGGGCTGACCACCAAAGTACTAATCCTCCCTGAGGCCTGACTCTCAGACAGGCTAAGAGGGCTAGCTTCAATGCAGTCTGTTCCCATTATGAAGTCCCTCTGCCTACCCTCTCAATCACAATTCAGTGGCTTTCCTATTTATTTAGAGACTCTGGTTCTACCTCTATCCCTAGGTCTGGAGTGTAGTAGACAGAGATGGAAAAAGGCAGCGGAGTTGGAGAATCAGAGCACCTAAGAAAGAATAGAGAAGCTAAGGGGTAAGGCCTACTGAAATGACTAACTGCTTTTATTTGGGCACTCCTCCAGAAACCCTTTCCCCCATCCCTTAAGGAACTTGAAAATGTTGGGCTATGTTCCCCAGGGCATGTCAACAGAATTCACAGATAATGGGTGCACTCCTAAGAGGCAAAATCAGGTGTCTATGGTCACACTGCTAGCACTGAGAGGGAATGCCACCCCAAATGGGCCCCAGTTGTCTCCACCAGCACAATAAGGCCAACCGCAGGAAGAGTAAAACAGAATCTTCTGTATCCTGCCTAAGAGCACTGAGCCACACTCTTGCCCTGGTGCTATAGAGAGATATAACACTCTCTGAAGCTCAAGCTCTCACAGCATCTGATCTCAGAAGACACCATTAAGGTTTTGTTTTCAGTACTGCTTCCTTTGTCCCTAGATCTGGCCCCATGAGATGGTTAGGCGAGTAGCATCAAATACAGGGACAGTGAAGGTGCCAGAACAGCAGTGGGTCCGTGGTGGACTAAAGAAAACTCCTGGGACATGGTACCAGCTTTCTGTCATCAGCATCACACAAAGGGCTACAAATCTCCAAGTCTGAGCTAAGTCAACCCCAATCCTGGGATTTCCCTTGGAGGAAATCACCAGACTTCTTTCCTGTCACTAGTCTCTCCCTCCAGCAGGTTGAGGTATCTTTTAGCGGGATTTCAGTTAAACAATGTTCTTGTGGTCATTATTTACACTGTTCTTCTAGTACACCTTTTTCCTTATGTCTGAAAAAATAAATCTCAAACCCCGTCTAGATGTTACCTGATTAAAACCACATTCAATCAAGTATAGATAATATCTCAACTGTTGTACAGGTGGGTGGGCGCAGAGCTTCACCAACAAGGGTTCATCTTCAGGGACTGCTTCTTTATTGCTTAATAAATGGGCATCACAGTCTCAGACCCAAAACACATGGGGTGCAGGCTACACAGCAACACCAACATAAAACTGGCTCAAAAACAATATATTTTAAAGCTGTTTCTCATCAAATTTTAAAGCTTTTTTTGTGCGTGTGCTTTAATTTAAAAGGATTCTTCTCTCCTCTGGACTTGCCATTCTATCTTAACTGCCTCTTTAAAATTATCTCCCAGGAAAACTGAAAACTTATCTGTCAGGTATGTAGAAATTTTGAAGATGCAAAGTCAATGGAGATATAACCTTGAAGTTTATGTCTGAGGATGCTGCCCATATACTTTTCATATCCAGATATTTTGTAGTTGGTTAAAAATAGAAAATTCTATTATAAGAAAATAAAGTTTCTATGGCAACATTTTCCCAATCCAGTTCAGCGTCATATAAACTTGTGTTTCTTAAAATGATACCAAGGTAGCTCAATAACAATACCAATAATAACCAAATCTTAATTCTCTAAAACTACATTCTTGTTTCCCCACCAACTCAATCACTCTCACAATGGTTTTCTACTTTAAAAACTATCAAAATAGAATTTTAGCTTATCAAGTTACATAATTCAACCCAAAGTATTCCATGCAATTGTGGTTGAGTTATTCAGATTCCAGACTTCTACCAAAACAACCAAAGAGCAAACTCCCAAATAACCTCCTGGGCCATTTGAGCCTGACAACCCAGGCTGAAATTTCTGGAGACTTGAAGGATGGATCTCATTCTGAGCTATACGTAGGAAAATGATGACCAATCAATTTTTTGACAATGAAATAAACTTTCCAGACCATGTATCAGTTATAGCTTAATAAAGTTTTAAAAAGTTAACATTACTATTAATAAAAAAAATGAGGTTCTTGATCTAAGTAAGATTATCAGGAAAGATGTAGAGAAGTAATTAACTTGGGGGCCTTTGGGAAGAGGCACACTGGATCACATAGTCATCACCATTAAAATGACAGGCATTCAGCTGCTATTTCAAAGGCTGATGCCAGGAGTTTCTGCCAACTGGGGCTGGGAAGTATGTGAATCCACACCATCTGCCTACTCCACTTTGTGGTCAATTGTCAGGCATCCAGAAATTCTCAGGTCTGCTCATGCTTATAAGCTTATGATCCAACAGTATTGATTAGTCAATTAATTTTCTGATAAAAATATTCTGATATACCCTGCAAATAAATATACAACATTTCTGTACCCACAGTCCCACCACCATAAAAGGTTATCTATAAATTAAGTGACCTCAGATTTCTTAACCATTTTCTTGGCTTACTTTTGTCTTCACCCTAAATGAAGTTCAGTTTATATCCAAAATATATTTAAATATTTCAATGATATATCAAACCTAAGTTATCAAAAATGTAAACAAAATTTACCTAGCTTATATCCATGAACTATATGTTTAAGTTTTTAATTCACCCTGTACTGACCCTCTGTAAAAAACTAACCAAGTCACATTTACACTATTTACGTTTTAAAGTAGTTGCTTGGAGACAACTGCCAATTACTAAAACTAGTATTACTGAATTTGGTAGTTTATTGTATCATTTAATTTAAAAGACCAAAATGTTTCCATTCTGATCTTCCAATAATTCTCCTTCTAAGTAAGCCCTAGGATTCTGCTGTCCTAAGTAAACATGCTCAACTAGAGGTTCTGCAATGATGCTCAGCACACAACCAAGACCAGGTGGGTATTGAGTGACCTCATGATTTCCACAGCACCTGTTAGAAATCCTCAATCTCGGTTTTTCAATCCAGTTTAGTTGAAAGGAACGTTAAGCATGGAAACTTGAGGTGAACTTGGAGAAGCAAGAAGGGAAACACAGATTGACTCTCCAAAGAAAATCAAAGGATCCATGGTGTCCTCACACTCCACAGTCAGACTGCTTTTCCTGAAGCTGTCTTGTCAGTATCTGGTATGAAGACAGAAAAGCCACTCCTATGTGGAAAAGGATCTGCCAGAGGTTCCTCAGCCCATGCAGGTACACATTACCCAGGCAAATAAAGAGCAGCATCAGCACTACCTTCATAGTCCTGGCTGGACTGTAGAACAGGTACAAATAACACTGAAACGAGACCACACAACACAACCAATCAGAGATAATCAAACAGCCACAAGATTAGGTGCAAGAGTCACCTCCTGCAGGTGCCACCAACAGCATCATTTCACATGCATTCACTAATTAAATTATATTCACTACAGTGAAGCTTGAACTTCCTGGTTAGGCTGCTGCTGATCTTTGGATGAAAGACAGGATTTGAAAAAGAGGAAAGTGAAACAGATGTTGACAGGAGGAATGCTGGAAAGAAGCTAAAGACATAAAAGATGGTATCCAGGCTGTGGGCTGCGGAGGAGAGGGAGAGGGTTGTGGGGAGTGGGCAGATAGCCAGGGTCTCCCAGATAGCCAGGGTCTGACTAGCCTCCGAGGGAAGTTTTTCTTCAGGGAGCGATGACAGGCAAGCAAGTCGGTGAAAGTCATGATTTTACTATTTTGGTTTCTCCTGAGTCACAACCTCAGTTCCCTTGGGCACGTTTTTTTAATCACATCTTCAAAAGCATCTCTGAGTCAGAGAAAGTTCTCCCAAAAGAGAGAGTAACGTATTTCATTTAGGGTGACCTCACAAAAAAGGGGCTATTCTTATTCTGCAAAAGCTGGAAAGAGTTTTTTTGTTCTTTTTTTAAGAAAAATAAAGCATATTCTCAGATCATGAAGCAATCAACAAGGGCTTAAGCTACAGCAGAGGAGAGAGAAAGAGAGATCCAGGATAGGAGCACAGCTGAAGGAATGAAAATGGAACTGTAAGGTCCCTACAGCCCTGAAATGCCAGCTCTAGAAAACTGTTGCTGGCTATACCCAAGGTTTTAGAGACCAGATTCCTAAAAAGTGAGTGCATTTTTAATCTACGGTTGAAAGCTTCTTTTGGCACAATCAAGTAATTCTTGAAAAAAAAAAAATTCTAAGATGTGTCCTGAGAACAGACACTTTTTCCCCCTACGGGTGTGGAAGGGTACCAAGGATTGAACTCAGGGGCACTAAACCACTGAGCCACATCCCCAGCCATTTTTTGTCTTTTATTTGGAGACAGGATCTCACTGAGTTGCTTAGTGCCTCGCCTTTGCTGAGGCTGGCTTTGAACTTGGGACCCTCCTGCCTCAGCCTCCAAAGCCGCTGGGATTACAGGCATACACCACTGTGCCTGGCCAGAAATTTTAATTAAAAAACAAAACAAAAGCAAAAAAAAAGCTTAAGAATGTAAAGAAAGTATTAAAATTTTATCAAGGATGGAGAATTTGAGTTGGGTTTTTGCTAGAATTAACTCTACCTACAAGGAATGCAAAAACTCCTTATCATGCTACCCCTTTTAAGTACTCAGCTGGTATGAAAATAACTAAATAATAATCCAGCCCTCTAGTTATTGTACTAATTTTCCTAGGGATAGATTTGAGTCAGAAGGTATTACTATTAAAGAACCTGTAATTTTTTTGTTTTTTACCCAGTCATAAGTTTAAAAACCACATCTTCAGGGCCAGGGTTGTAGCTCAATGGTGGAGCAATTGCCTAGCATGTGTGAGGCACTGGGCTCAATTCTCAGCACTGCATATAAATAAATAAATTAATAAAAGGTCCATCAACAACTTAAAAAATCAAAACAAAACACATCTTTCTGCTCCTTATAAGGAAGGATATTTCTGCACTTGAATTGTCCCAAGAATAAACACAGGGTAATATCCTGCCTTACCCTGCAACCTCATCCCTCCCTTCTAGAGAATCAAACCCAAATTCCTAGTTCCTATTCCGCTGTTTTCAGTGTCCCTGTGGCCTTGGACAAGTGGCTTTCCCTTTCTGAGCCTAAAGTTCCTCCTCTAAAATGAGAGAATTAGGCAGGATGGGCCACAGATCCTTCCACTTAGTACGGTCCAGGATTTGAACCAAGGCCTTGGTAGAACAAAAGCAGGATCTAAAACTTGCCGATAATTACAGAACAACCAAATAAGGCCATCAACACTTCACCCACCTGGAAAATACAGGCTACGAAAGGAATAAGAAAAGCCAGAATGTTTCCAATTTCCTCACGGGCAACCTAAAATAAGTACAAGAAACATAAGGAAAGAATATTTAGATGAAACACTATAACCCGGAGCATTTTAACCCTCATTCAGTGTGGTATGGCTGACAGCACAATGAGACCTAAGTCCCTCTTATATACCAGATCAGGGTCCGGCATGCAACTATTTTCAATGAACTAGATAAACCATGTGCCCTCCTGTCCCCACAGATCTAAGTCCTCAACCTATATTGAGCCCACAATCACTCCACCTCTCAAAATCCTACTTTTTGTCAATACCACAATTTCTCTAATTCCTCCCAGCCCCAGCCATTGCCACATCCTCAGTGCTGTCACTACACTACGCTTTGTACCAGAAGAGTCCTCAGGGACAAGGTCTTAACCATCTTATTGGCATCTCTTCTAGTTTTACAAATAGTTGGCAAATATCTGATTATTAATAATCAAACAATTAAGAGTGGAAACCACACCAAACCCTGGTCAAAGATGAGATGTGTTATCAAGCAAATACACTCTGGTAATAGGCCTGCTGCCACTCTCCACACTCTCCTCAGTCTCTGAGGTCCAACATCCACTGCACTTTAGACTACGGCCTCCACATATGAAGGTACCAGCATTATAGCTCTATCTTTTAAAACAATATCTATTTGCTTATACTAATAGTGATTCTGTTCCTTTAAAAAGTATTTGAAATTCTTCAAAATCCAAAAACATATTTTAAAAAGCATTGAGCTGGATATGATGGTGCACACCTGTAATTCCAGCTACTTGGGAGGCTGAGGCAGGAGGATCAAAAGTCTGAAGTGAGGCTGGGCAACTCAGTTAGACTCTATTTCAAAATAAAATAAAAATGGCTGGAGATGTAGCTCAGTGGCTGGGCACTTGCCTAGCATGCACCAGGCCCTGGGTTCAATTCCCAGTAACAAAACAAAGAACAATGAAACAGAAAGTTGCTCTGAGATGAGCAGGTGAACAAAGAACTCTATCCTATCCTAGTGATACAGGTCTTTACAAATCAGACTGTAGGACAACCTTTTCCCAGGGCAAAAAGAGACTTAACCTTAAAGTCTGAATCAGATGTTTGCCATAGGTGAATAATCTATGCCCTGGAAAGACACCTGTATTCCCAAGGAAAACAAGGTAGTCCAATATCCTTGAATTGAGTTGTCCATTTTATACTAATATCCCAGCAGGCAATTTCCATGTATGCTCAACTTACTACAAAGTACAAAATTTTTTAATTTTCATTTGAATTTTAAAAATTTTAAACCTCAGTGCATAATAACTTTATAAATAAAATATATCCTAGTTTCTTCTTAGATGTGTCCTTCAATTTAAAGTGTTAAAAAAAAAAAAGAGGTTACCTGTAAAGAATGTTCTGCGAGATGAACACCACGAATGAGGTTCAGAGCAGCGCACATGATGTTGAGGACGAGGGAGAGAATCCCCAGGGCCGTCACTGGCTCCATTCGGAAATTAGGAGCTTCACAATGAAAAGAAAAAATAAGTGTCTATAGAGAAAATAACATCTATATGAAAGAAAGACAAGCAAAGCCATTAACTAGACCTCCACTAACGATAGGTTTATGATGTTAAACACAAAATACAAACATGCTAATTTTAAAAGCAGCAGAAGTTAGAAGAAAAAAGGCAAGAAATGAAGGACAGAATGGACCTGGGAATCTGAGGTGAGTATCTTCCAGAAATAAGCCCTTTTATAGGCAAGTGCAGGTTTTCAAGTGCCTATTTCCTTTCCATTTAGAGCAGTGGTTCTCAAACAGAGTGATTTGCTGCCCAGAGGATATTTGATAATGTCTGGAGACATTTTCTATTGGCATCCAGCGGGCAGAGGCCAGGAATGCTTCTAAACAACCTAAAATGCACAGGTTAGCCCCCAACAGTAAAGAATGGACTGGTACAAACATGTCAATCGAGCATAGATGGAGAAACTATGATTTTAAACAACTTCTGCTATAAGAGAGGACCATGGCTTTATTTGTATTGGGTGTCAAATTCTGATAGATTTTTTTTTGGGGGGGGGCAGGGGTGTGTACCGGGGATTGAACTCAGGGGCATTCAACCACTAAGCTACATCCCCAGTCCTATTTTGTATTTTATTTAGAGACAGGGTCTCACTGAGTTGCTTAGCACCTCGCTGTTGCTAAGGCTGGCTTTTTATTAGATGCCTCAACCCCCAGCTTGTAAAATATTCCACTCTTTTTATAAAGACAATATTCAGGGTAATGTGTGCATCTAAAGAGACTGATGACAAATAAATGTGTTTTTAATTCTAAAATAATAGGGGAGAGGAGGGAAACATTGATTATTTAGGCTATAAGCTGTTTCTGGAATTGTAATTAGAACAAATATTCCATTCTCTCCTGAAAGATAACTGTTGAAGTGGATTCTGTTCACACAATTAAATGGTGTCCCACCCATTCTCTTGCTATGCTCTTCTAAAATCATCCTTTCTTGTCCTTACATTTCTCACACTTGTGTGCATGTGTGTGCTCATGAGCATGTACACACACAACCACACTCACACACACTCTCATACCCCTGGCCACAACACAACTTATGCCTATTGTTAGTGTGTTAGAGTTTTCACTGAGTAATTCAAAGTTCCTATTAGAACAGAACATGCTACCTGTAAAGATCTAGCCTCAGGACAATAAGATGAGTCAAACCACAGTAAAAATGTCCTAGAAAGAAGGCAAGCTGACACTTTCTGGATTTGCTCCTCTTATCTAAGTGTTTAAAAAACAAAACATATATTATAAAGTTATCCCTGTGTTTAGGGAGAAACTTGGGATTCAATTACCCAGTCTTCTTTCTACAAAAGTTAAATGTTCTCCCAATACAAATTAGAACAACTTACTGATTGGCATGAGAGCCAATCTAAGAACTTACTGGTTGAAACATATTAAACCAAAACACAATGTTAAGCCAAAAACATGAACATTTTTAATACACCACTTTTTAAATTCAAGCAATGAGTTTAGTACAAAATAGTTAAAAACGAAATAATTAGACTGTTACAGTATAGACAGCTCTATCTCTCAGGGGATTCAGCTCTTACACCATTATGGAATTCTTAGAATACCTTAGTAAATATCTACTTTAAATATTAGTTTAACTTCATGTGATTACAAAACTAGGAATGCAAAAAATCATGCTTCATTATGTGCTAAGTGGCTAATGGTGTTAATTCCAAAGTTACAAAGCACTGGGCCACTGTGATCATGTCATTAACATCACATTCTTCAGATGAAGACTGTGAAATCCACTGGGACAGAGGGAGCTCTCCAGGTCTCATGGAGAGCCAGACAGCAATAGCACTAGGGGCCTTGGCCCCTATCAAAACATTCATTCCCACAGCCCTCTCTCCAAGAAGGTACACAGGGATTCTCAGTGGAGATTTGCAACATTTCATTAAGTGATGAGGTAAAAATATGTATAAATCCATGCTGGGATTGTGGCTCAGCAGTTGAGCACTCGCCTAGCATGGGCGGGGCCCGGGTTCGATCCTTAGCACCACATAAAAATAAAAGTATTGTGTTGTGTCCATCTACACCTAAAAAATAAATATTAAAAAAAAATATATATATATATATATAAATCCATATGATTCAATGAGTAGCTTCTAGTGAAAGAGAAGGTATATCATTTGCAAAATTTAAACTTACAGAGTTTACCCTAATTAAGAAAACAACCTCCCAAGTCACTCTTCTCAACTCTTGAATTTCATCAAAAGAAAGTATCCTCTCAAAGCTACCCACTATCAGAACTGTCAAGGTCTATATAATGAACACCTGGAAACAGAATCAGTCTGATTTCTTCCCAAAATATACCCTCCCATCTCAAGTATACATTTCTAATATTTAAAAAATCTATTTGAAATACATAGAATCACTTCATATTCATCAATATCAGAGAAAATCAGGCCATTTACCAGGCTCCGAGTGCTTTGGTATGTGACCGTTCATCATCCCATTTGCCACATCTGTGTCCTCCAAAGTAAGAACCATTGGAGGCTGGAACTCTAGCTCCTCCTGAATTTTCTCCAAACTGCTCTTTATCTGAGAGGAACTTACATAGTTAAAATGCCACTTCATTTTCTGAATGATGCTGTCTGGAAAAAGAGAGCAACCCAAGTTGAGCATTCTCATAAGAATGGATGTTTAGTAACATTTGTACAAAGTTCACATTTCTAAGCAAGCTAGTAAATCAGGCAGATTCTGAAGAGTTAAGTTATATATGCATCAAGGTCAAATAATTATTAAATATCAACATAAGTCTGATCAATCTCTTCAAAGTAGAATGATTAAAAAGTAATTACAGAGAAGGCAATAATGCATCATAAGACAAAAGTGACAAGGGTGTCAGGTGGAAAGGGGCTGGAGTCTTAGACAGTACAATCTTAGGTGATTCAAAACAACATCTCTACCCTTGAAAATGGGGCCAGTTTTTCCTAACTTGATTATCTCAAAAAAAGCTTGTTTGAAAGTACAAGTAAAAATAAATATGTTGTGCAAACTAGGATTACATATTTGAAAGTGATTGATTTTAATTCTTTTACGCTACTCTATCACCAAGTCTTAACAAGCTTTTGAAGTGAAACTTGCTATGCAAAACAAAATAATGTACAATTCTAATATCAATGAGCTTTGACTCTTTCCACTCCCATTCAATAGTGAGCAAATGTGGTGCCAAAGAAGGGGCTCCTATCAGATCAAGCACACTGCTTTGGAAGAAGGGCACATGCAGAGATGAGGGAAAAGAAGAACCCAACTCCACTCCACTCCAAATCAACAGAGAGCCAAAGGCTTGCTGCAGCTGTGGTCTGCATTGGGAATAGTGTGTTCTCTTCAAAAGGAAAAGTGGGGCTGAAAGCCTCAAGAGAGAGCAAGAGCCAGAGCTCTCCATCTATCACTGGTCTACCAGAGTGGGTCTGGCATAGTAGGAAGCTCCCCAGTTCCTTCAAGTGACACCAAAAGAGGGCGCTGGTTCCATTTCTAAAAAGCCAGCAGGCAACAAGAGGGAATGTGAGGCTATTAATCACAGTAGCAGCCGGAAAGCCCAACTGGCAACATTTCCAGGTGCCGTCCCCTGCCTGTCCCCTGCCTGACCACGCGTATCAGATGCTGCCAGCTTCTTGTTCAAGAGCATCACAGCGACCCAAAATATTCCCCAACCCCAAGAGCTCAAAATGAGCCACACTAACAAAAACCAAGCACTCTCTATGATTATCATGTTGTAGTCCAAAGCCCCTGAGCCTCCACAGGACCTTTCTAGAAGAGCCTAGAAAAGAAGTATCCTTTCCAGAGCAGGGCTTCTCAAAGTTAAGAGAGGAGGACCATATTTTTCTTACTTCCAAATGTTACAGACTGATTCTTTTTGATAAAATACTATTTTTTAAATCACAGGAATGTCAAATTACAGTAAGTTTCTGAATACTTTTTCTCATTTTCTGTGCTTCCATCATAAAAGAAGAACACTCTGAGTAGTAGTGCTCTAGTGTAGGGGTTGGTGAAACTTTCTTCAAGCACCCAACAGTATTTTAGGCTGGGGGGCTCTGTGGTCTCTGTCAGGACAACTCAATGGTGCTGTGTGGGGCAAAAGCTGCCAAAGACAACTCATAAAAGAATGAACATGACTGTGTCCCACTTTACTTGCAAAAATAGGCAGCTGGCTTCTGGGCCACAGTTTGATGATCCCAGCTTCAGAGGTTTCACCCTTTCTCGACCTCCCCCAGCTCCCAAGACATGAAAAGCCAGAGTATTAAACCTGAAGGCCTTCTAGTCCATTTTAATGGCTGTGAAATCTCATGATGTGAGGCTCTTTTTCAGAGCCAGGTGCTTGTGCCTCTCAGGGCTTTTCTATATGATCAAAGCTAAACCTCAACTGTAAGTTCTACACATCAAATGCCACAGGAGAGAACAGTAAACATGAAAGAGGGTTACAAACCAAACTCGAGAAAAGCATACGGCCTGGAGGCGAGGCCAATGCAGGTGGTGTCATAGGAAGCTGTGAATTCCCACCACAGGGTCTCCAGGAAGCAGAAGGCCATGGCTGCTGGATACTGGCGGGAGCAGATAGCCATGCAGGCCAGGTCCCCAGAAGAAGAAAAACTGAAATAAAAGGGCAACATCTGCATAACCAGGAAACAGATTCATGTGTTCCCACCCCATACCCAGATACAACCTCCTCTCACCTCTACCCTTGCTTGGCCTCCAACAGTCTTATAGCTGCCTGTGGCATACATATTATCTTTTCAGCCAGACCAGTTTCTAAGATTATTTTTCTTAAGACTTCCTTTAAAATGTCTAACAGTATTAGTCACCAACACTGTGTGATTACTCACTTATGCATGCATGAGGGATGCATTTTCTATTAGGGAGAATTAGCCTCCAACTTCTCTACACTGAGAATAATGTTTTCCTACTTTAATCTACCTCAACACATCTTCTAATGTTAAATCACTTTGGCACCCAGAAATAAATCCTTGTTGTGCATTTCTACATATTCATTATTAATCACATGCTAGGTTTAGTCTGATAATGTTTTATTTAGGATTTTTGTGTCTATGTAAAATTAGACTGTTCTACAATTTTCCTTCCTATGCTGACTTCATCTGGTTGTGGTATTAGAGTTATTCTGGACTCAAAAAAAAAATTCCATTTCTTCTTTTTATACTCCTTTTTAGACTGCCATGCTATCATTTCACTTTTGGGGTTGAAGGGGTCTAGTTCACCTATTTGGGATGTCTACTAGCTGCCTCTCATGATGGAATATCTCCTCGGGGATTATCATTTTTGCTCAAAGTTCTCCACTGTGGGGCTTGTCATTTTCTGTCTTTTGTAACTATAAGTCTCTACATAAGACCTCAACTTAAAGAAAAGGATGACTCTCCTTTTGTCAGAAGGAATTCTCCAGAAGGGGCCTAACCTCTTTAGGACAGAGGTGTTTGTACATGAAAAAGGACCCCTGTTGTGGGTTGAATGTGTCCCCCAAAAAGATACCCTGAAGTCCTAACTTCCAATGAATGTGAATTTATCTGGAAACAGCATCTTTGCAGATGTAATCAGGATAAAATGAGGTTTTACTAGATTAGGGTAGGCCCCCATCCAATGGGGGCCTCTTTACAGAAGGAAAGAGGAGGCCATGTGACCATGCAGACAGACAATGAAATAATAATGTATCTGTAAGCCAAGGAAACCAGGGATTGCCAGCAACCATCAAAAGATAGCAGAGGTATGGGAAGGGGTCTTAAAGCCCTACAGAGGGAGCAGGCCCTGAGATACCTGGATTTCAGATTTTTGGCCTTCAGAACTATAAGAGATTCTGTTTTTTGCTATTCGTTTTTTTTTTTAAGAATTTTTAATATTTATTTTCAGATCTCGGCGGACACAACATCTTTGTTGGTATGTGGTGCTGAGGATCGAACCCGGGCCGCACGCATGCCAGGCAAGCGCGCTATTGCTTGAGCCACATCCCCAGCCCCCTGTTTTTTGTTTTTTGAACCCAGTGTGTGTTAATTTGTTGTGGCAGCCCTAAGAAATTAATATGACCCTTCAACTGTAAAAAAACTACGATACTGGGCTGGGATTGGTAGCTCCGTGGTAGAACATTTGCCTCACACGCATGAGGCCCTAGGTTGGATCCTCAACACCACATAAAATAAATGAATAAATAAATAAATAAATAAATAAAAATAAAGATATTGTGTCCAGGGCTGAGGTTGTGGCTCAGTGGTAAAGTGCTTGCCTAACACATGTGAGGCACTGGGTTCAATTCTCAGCACCACATGTAAATAAATAAATAAATAAACAACTAAAAATATTTTAAAAAAAGACATTGTGTCCATCTATAACTAAAAATATATTTAAAAAAAAAAGCTATGATACTGATCACCTGTAAGATAAGAAAGTCTTAGCTCTGGGAAAATAATGGTGAATATTCAATTCAAAATACAAATGAATAGAATGTTTTATATTCCTTTTCCAAAAAACTACTGAGGTACCCAAGATTTCATTCTGAAACTGTAGGCTTCTTTTTACTGAGAAATATAACCTTCAATAGAGAAAAGGTGTCCTATCTGAGGCACAGCACACATTAGCTCATCACAGCCTCATGAAGAAGGGCCAGTCAAGGAAGGCAGGTGCTTTCAGGCAAGCAGAGAAAGGAGCTGCAAATGTGGACAGATGCAGCTCAGCTTTTTGTGCCTGAGCACTCAGAGTCCACACCACAAAGTGACAGCTGTAGGTGCTGGCCATCTGACACTGCCAATAGGACACAGACCTTCTTACCTGATACCATCACTTAGCCTGGACGGTCCCTTTTGTTTTTATGATTCTAAACCTGAATTACCCTAAAAGGACTCCATATTATCAGATCAACTAAAAATCTATGATTCAAGAAAAGCAAAATGGACTTGGTAAAAGAAGACTAAATACTACAAAACATAGATGTAGTGTCTATAACTATCTATAAAATTTTGATATTTTAAAACCTGTCTTGCCCCTGATTCCTCCACAAAATAATTGGCTTCTTGCTCTGAGTCCTAGAATAAAATGTGAGAAGCTGACCTCAGTGCCTGAACAGCCTGCATTCAAATCTTAGCTCCACCGCTTGCTAACAGTACAGCTTTGGTTAAGTGGCTTAACCTCAATTTCCTCCTCTGTGCAATACTGCTGCTTGCCTCACAAGCCACAGGAAGCACAGGAACAGTGCCTGGCATATGAAAAGCACTCCACACAATTACCTGTTATAGGATTATTATGACCACCTGAGTCCTACTTCCACTGGCATTTTTTCCACTGTTTTCTGTTCAGTTATATATTTCTCTTCTTCCTTCATTAGACTGTAAGTTGTTTGAAAACAAGAGACCTACTCACTAATTTTTCACTCTATGAATCCCGTCACATAATAAAAATTAAAATGTGAAAAAAAATTTATTTAATATATTTTTTTAGTTGTAGATGAGCACAATATCTTTAGTTCATTTATGTATTTTATTTGGTGCTGAGGATCAAACACAGTGCCTCATACTTGCTAAGCAAGCACTCTACCACTGAGCCACAATCCCAGCCCAAAATACAAGAATTTTAAAGTAAAAAAATTAAAACGAGGGGCTGGGGCTGGGGCTCAGAGATAAAAGTGCTCGCCTACCATGTGTGAGACACTGGGTTCGATCCTCAGCACCATATAAAAATAAAATGAAGATATTATGTCCACCTGTAACTAAAAAATAAATATTAAAAAATTAAAATTAAAAAAAAATAGCTCTTGAAGATAATAGCTATTAAGTATTTTAATTTCCTTGGCTTTCTCTAACATTTTTCATCTATCATCTCCTCTTCCTCCTTATCCTTTTCCTACCCTGAATCTAAGTACAGGGGGAACAAAAAACAACTAATAACCTAAAGCCAGAAAAACTGGCTGAACTCAGGTCTTCCAATGCTTGTGAGCACTCCACTGACAGAAGCCAGCAGTTGGAACAGCAATGCTTGAGGCCCTGAGGACACCCAAACCATTCTTAGTTCCACTGTTGTAAACATACAACCTAAGACCACTATCTGACACCATATCTACTCTTAACACACATGGTGATCAGCATAATGTGACTTCAATGTGTGGAAAAAAGTAATCTAAATTCTGCTGCTGTTCTGAAAAAGCGAATATGTTCACTTACTGTATACAAAAGTCACAGCTTTCTGCAGAGCCTCGACCTGGATACTGGGCCAGTTGCAAGGCTAAAGTCTTGAGACGTCTCCTGCATTCCAGAAAATCTTGGGTGTGGTAAAAGTCAGTAGAGGCTGAGAGGGGCAGTCCATCCCTCACCCGTACCACACTGGCAAAAAAGATCATGGACATGGTCCACAAGAGAAGTCATGAGGACACCTGAGGGAAGCAAGGTCATCCTGTTAGTGCCAGAGATGCACCCACCCTCCAAACATGCACTCCATGTTGTTTCACCCTCAACCCCACTATAACCAAATGTTGCTTTTATTATTATTACTCTGCCCTCTAGAGCTATGTGGATCCCAATTTTCCTGTCTCTTTTTCATTTCTAATCCTTCTTTTCCTTCCAATTAATGAATATCTCCCTTTCCAGCATTAAACCAACTGGCATGAGGGGTAATGGGATAGAGAAGCAAGGGGGCAGTGATACACTGTCCATTTGTCTCATTTCCACACACCTCCCCTTGGTGAATAAACATGTGAAAAGCCCCAGGAGTGACAGCAGTTAACAGTAGGACACAGTGCCAGACAGACCTACAGAGACAGGAAGTACCTAACACTGAAGAGGTGGAGATAGAAGCCTAATGATCTGCACAACTCAGGTCACCCAGGGTGGTAGGGGCTAAGCAGTGTAGTTGCCACATCCTCACCTAAAGGAGATGGAGGAAAGTGGAGAGATTCTGAGCATTTAACCTAATGCTGGTGACAAAGAGAGCAGAAGGCAAAAATGGGACTGAGCAAGCATGTCCTCCTGAATTTCGGCAAATGTCTGATACAGAGCCAGTCTTCAAAATGATGACTGAGTCCCTACAGATGGCTAAAGGAAGTCATTTAACAAATTATATTATAGTAAAACACTAAATATTTAGCTATGATATGGAACACATTAAGAAATAAAATAAAATGGATCTAAGCCCTCTTGGTGCCTTTGGCAAATTAGAAAAAGGTGCCTCTCAGGGTGGAAACAGGCCCACACCAGGTCAGCTGGCAGAGTCTGGCTGGGTTGAAGCCCCACCTGTCAACTCCACTGGATGCTCTTACAGGGCATAACCTACACATCTTTGTGTGGCAGCCCTGCAGCAGGGTTTAGTGTGGCGGCCAGTATAACTTTAATGTGTCTGTCCAAGTGTGCACATATCCTGTTTCACAGATCCTGTTTATCAGGTCTTCTACTTGATAGGATGTTAATAGGTATACTGGTGAACTTGTCTTCCAAAGAACTCAAGTGATGCAACCTGACTTGGCATCTCAATTCTTCCTCTTCTCAAATACAGGAGCCCCCAGCATGTACACCACCCCTCACCCCTGCTCCTCTTCACAGTCTACACCTGGGTCTATGATGTCACTTTTTTCATTTCCTCATATCCAAATCCACATCAAGGGCTGTCTCGATTCACCCACTACATAAAACCTCCCCAGACGTGTCCAACTGGAAGCCCTCTCTCCCTCTTGTAAGAATCTAAAGAGACTACTTCTCTGTTCTCTGTGGCACTAATTTAGCATTTCCACCACCTAAGAGTGAGTTCTAAGAACAAAGATCACATCTGCAATGGAGGAATGAATGAATGATTATTCCATTGTACACATGAGAAGCTGCAGTGATAACACTGTCCATTTGTCCTCTTTCTGCATACCTCCCCTTGGGGAGGAAAACTGTGAAAAGCCCCAGGAAAAAATACATCCCTGTGCAAAAGCTACTGAGTTTCCAGCAGGCCCAGGCCAACTGCCAGAAGGTTCAATGGGCTTTAACCCTTGCTTGACCAATGCTGAGACCTCTAGTATCAGAGAGAAAAGGAAGGCACAGGAGTATGAAAATTAACTGTGCTATCTGCTATACTTTCACAAATGTTTGAAATATTAATTTAACAATTTTAAAAGAATGATATTTTATGAAGTCCTAAGAGAGTTGGGCAGAGACTACAAGATCAATTTAAACCAAGGGTTTATAACTCCAGTAAGACCCTTAAACCATGATATAAAGACACTCAGAAGAAGAAGAAAAAAAGATAATTAATGATATACCGAAAGTCAGAACAGGACAGAAACACCCTACAGCAAAATAAGAAAGGTCCTTTTGGGAGACAGAGTAAACTGTATACTCTTGTAAAGGAAAGCAAGTGTGCTTTTATTCCAACTGTTAACCCCCAAACAAGCTCTGTAGTGCTGTCTTTTATGGAGTATCTACCACATGCCAAATGTTGTGTTAAACCAGTAAGAAGAAAAAGGTTGCATTTCTGAGTGCTAGTAATCCCAAGAATCACTTCTATTCCTCACTAAACGATCCGAGCCATTTATGAGTTATCATGAGACAGGCTATAATCAAGTAAGAGATGATGATTATGAAAAAAAAAAAGTGAAGTTCTGCTTCTGGAAAGAGAAGTAGAAGAATTTTCCAACTCTTCCCATGAGATACAATTTACATTTATTATATATGTAATAAATATGCAGATTCTGAAAGGTGGAGAGGAGATGACAGCCTGGTTTGGACGTTGGGCCTTGAGGAATGTGAATTTGTTGGGTTTTCTTTTTGCATCACACATCCTAGACTTTGTGTGGGAGAAACTAGCAACCAGAAACAACAATGGGCAGAGATATCCACCACTATCCCCAAAAAAAGTCATCACAACAACAAACCTCGAAAAGGTACAGTTTAGCAAATCAGAAAATTTTAAGATAAACAACCCTCTCTTCTGGTCCAACACCTCGGGGTGGAGGAGGAGGAGTGGACTGCACTCTGCCAGGTGTGGTGGTACATACCCCGTAATCCCAGCGGGAGCTCAAGAAACTGAGGCAGGAGGATCACAAGTTCAAAGCCAACCTCAGCAACTTAGTGAGGGCCTGACTAAAATTAAAATACAAAAAAGGGCTAGGGATGTGGCTCCATGATTCAGTACCCGGTACTAAAAAAAGAAAACCTACAAAAACAAAAAACTACACTCACCACAGACCCACCAACAAAGGCCCAGTGAAGAACCTATTTACCCACTCTCGCCTTGCAGGGAATGGCTTGCCCTCCCACCCTGTGGAGTAGTGAGATAGGAGGCCCAGTGGGGAGCTACAGGGCAGTAATGCGCCATCCCCTCCCCCTGAATTATTAAGGCAATAAACTGCCCATCTCTACCTAGCAATAAGCAACCCCTTTCCCCTAGGTATCAACAGAGGCCATGTGGGGAACCTGGATTTCACTGTTGCCAGAGTGGTGTCAACAAAGGTTAATTTAAACACATATTAATTATACATTAAAGGGATTCATTGTGATGTTTTCACACATGTGTATATTATGCCTTGGTCATGTCCATCCAGCCTTCTGCATACTCTCTCCCCTCAGCTCTCTCCCCCTCCTCTCTTTCAGCACCACCCCGCCCCCAGTCCCTCTTCTACTTTCAGGTCTCTCTTTTTTTTTTTCTTTTTTAAACTTCTACATGTGAAAGTCCGATATTTGTTTTTCTGAATCTGCTTTATTTTGCTTAACACAATATCCTCCACTCCATCCAATTTCCTACAAATGACAGAATTTCATTATTCTTTGTGGCTGAATAATAATCCATTTTACATATATCTTTTTTATTTATCCATTCTTCTGTTGATGGGCACCTGGGCTGACTCTATAACTTAGCTCTTGTGAACAGTGCTATAATAAACATAGGTATGCAGGTAACTCTTTTGTAAACTGACTTCATTTTCTTCAGACATTAACTCAGGAATGGAAAAACTGGATCATATGGTAGTTTTTAGTTTCTTGAGGAATCTCCACACTGTTTTCCATAGTAACTATACAAATTTGCATTCAAATCAACAGTACATACCAGTTCCTCTATCTTTATAACCTCAACCTGACTAGCATTTGCTTTTTGGTTTTTTTAATAATAGTCACTCTAATTAGGGTGAGATGGAATCTAATTGTAGTTTTGATTTGCATTGCCCAAATGTATTAAGATATCAAACATTTTTATATTTTTCAGGCATCTGCATTTCTTCTTTTGAGACATGTCTGTTGAAATCTTTTCCCCATTTTTTATTGGATTACCTCTTTTGATGTTAAGTTTTTTGAGTTATTTACATTCTGGATATTAATTCTGTCAGATAAATAGCTGGCAAAGATTTTCTCCCAATCTCTAAGTTATTGCTTCACTCTGTACCTTTGTGTGCAGAAGCTTTTTAGTTTGATATAAGCCCATTTGTTTTATGCATTTGCTTCCTTGCTTTTGGATTCCTGTCCAGGAAATTGTTGCCTGTGCCAATATCTTGAAGTGTTTCCTCTGTTTCCTTTTAGTGGCTTCAGATCTTACAATAAGGTCTTTGATCCAATTTGAGTTCATTTTTGAGCAGGGTTAGATTGGGGCCTAATTTCAATCTTCTAAATGTGAATATCCAATTTTCCCAAGCACCATTTATTAAAGAGGCTGTCCTTTCTCCAATGTATATTTTTGACACCTTTGTCAAAAACCAGTTGGCTGAAAATACATGAATTTTTCTGGATCCTCTATTCTGTTGCACTGGTCTCTGTATGTCTTTATGCCAATGCCATGCTCTTTTTGTTACTGTGGCTCCGTAGTATGTCTTGATATCAATGCTGCCAGCATTGTTCTTTTTGCTTAGGATTGCTGTTGGGTCTTTTTATGCTTCCATACAAATTTTAGGGTTGTTTATTATAGTTCTGTAAAGAATGTCATTGGTATTTTGATGAGAGTTACACTAAATCTGTAGATCACTTTTAGTATGGGCATTTTAATAATATTAATTCTCCCAATCCATGAACATGTAGGTCTTTTCACATTTTTTTTACATTTCATATTATCCAGATCTGATAAAATAATATCTGAACTGTCCAAATTCCAACAAAAAACCACCGGTCAGTGCATGCCTGTAATCCTAGCAGACCAGGAGGCTGAGGCAGAAGGATCGCAAGTTCAGCAAAAGTGAGGCACTAAGTAACACAGCGAGATGCTGTCTATAAATAAAATACAAACTAGGGCTAGTGATGTGGCTCAGTGGTTAAGCATCCCTGGGTTTAATCTCTGGTACCAAAATAAATACATAGACAGATAAACAAATAAAACACTATAAATATTTAAAAGTTATAGTCTATAATATATTTGAATTATCCACAGGAAGGCTAGATAGAGAAACAATAAACAACAAAAACCAGATCAGAAAAC